TAAACATTAATTCTGAAGCTGAAAAAGAATTCATAGTTGGGTTCTAATTAACAGTGTTTTTCCTGAAAAGTTCCGCTGGGAACCTGTAGCAAAGCTTGCATAGATCATACAAGGCTGAATAGCTCTGGTAGTATTTGACACTATCATGCCCCAGCTAGCACAAAAACATCCCATCTACGTTAATAAGCTGCAATTTTAGGCTCTTTAAGCTCACATGCAATGTACTTTTAATGTAACCCTAATATCCCTGCAACCACCGAATGTCCGCAACGGCAAGACTTTTATAGCACATCTCACAGAAGTTAAAAAGTGAAGTTCGGAAAACATCACACTAGCACTTTTACGGTACTTACCCTGAAAGTTGCTCTGAAACTTTCTATAGATGTTATAATGTGAATTAGCTCTACTTCATTATACAGTGTGTCCACGGATTGACTTAACTATACTTGTGAAAATATTTATTTTAAATTAAAAAAGTAATTTTTCATAATTTACTTGTTAAATAAATTCGATTCACATTAAGAAATTATGAAAAATAACTTTTTTTAATTTAAAATAAATATTTAAATATTTTTACAAGTATAATTAAGTCCATCCATGGACACACTATATTGTTCTTTGTGTAATGTAATACGGAGAGGCTGAAATTGAGGTATAGTAAAAACTCAATCGAGACATGGAAATTTCAAATAAAACAAAATATTTATATAAATTTATTATTAAAATGTTCTTGAAATCAAGTAGTAATATCACAAAAGTAGAGGTAGGTAGGTATATCACAAATGCAGTTACACATGTATAGTAGAAGCCACCTATAAAGCACTGAACGATTGGACAAAATTTGCTTAATAGTAATAATAAGGTATCAATATTGCAAAGGTTCACTAGAAGCTTAAACAGTGAACGATTGTACAAAAGTATATTTATATAAGGTACGTTTCAAGATGGCAATTGTATGATGCAAAAAAAACTAGATCTGTGAATAATAGATGATTGCAACAATGACTTAGGTATATATCATGAGATAGCTGAGGTTCCAGATTGCTTACCTGTACTCACAGAGATATATCATCTTTTTAAAATCAAACCTTTTAACTTTTTTTTTGGATAGATATTTATATATTTTTATTTTGTTAGTTTATTATTTATACAAAGGTGAACAAAAATTATTTTATTATTCTAACTACATATTGAATAAAAAAGAGATTGACCTACTTGTTTAACTATTATTGAAGGAAATTATATAGAAAGTAAAAAAATATACTCAAGTTTAAATCGTTGCACTTATTTTTAGGTAATTTTGTCTTACTTTGTTGTTTTAAATAAAACCTCTATTTTTTTTAGAATTTCACAAATTTTATGCATAATTATGGATTTCCAAGTTAGTATGAAGATTTTATAAAAAAAAACAACTCATGTTTTTTAGCAAGATATTCTGATGTATGCTCGAGGGCATCTTCTGTGATTTTTCTCAAATTTTCTTCTAGTTTGGCACTTGCTTGAATCTGATGTTGTTTTTTTTTAATATAGACGTACCATGTAGATTCACTTTTTATAAAACTTCAGATGTCATATAGCTATTCTTCTTTAGACAAGTCTGTACTATTTATTTTGCTTCTAAAATTCTTAGAATGTTTTCAGGTACAAAGGAAATCTAAAATACAATATTTTTAAAATGTATTTTTAGTTCGATTAAGTATATTATTACCCAGAAGTTTGCTACATTCTTAGTAAAGTGGAATCACATATTGTGGATTTTGTTTCTTGTAAAAGAAGGGCCCCTAAATCTGTGATAAGTTCAACCTCTCCATGCTCCCCTAAAATCACATACCAATAGTGTTATTTTATTTTAGGCCTTTATTTATCATTTACTGTAATTATCTTATGAATAATTATGTATATAATAACTTAGTGGGTCTTTTGTTGAACTGAAATATTACCTAAAACACACATGTTAGCGACATGCATAGGAATCTCAATTTATATAGCTATGATTCACTTGCAGCCCCTTGCTGAGGCTTTGGCACCTCCAAAAGCCATCATCAGTTATTACAGCATCCTGAACGATCACCAGTTCGATTGCAGTAAGATTTATAACTTCTCAGCCACAAGTATTTCTCCAAATTTAGAAGTAGTGGCTCGTTTTGATAAATTCCTAAAATAATTCCTAAGATAAACTTGAAAAATTAAACATGTAAACTCACCTGTGCACCTTCTAGTACTAAAAGGGGGACCATAAGATAAATTGTATCGTATCGTTAATACCATCAACACATTAACAGCTTTAATAACTATTTGTAGGGTATTATAAACCACAGGGTAAATTGTGCATAAGCTAAAAGAGATATTATATCAAATCACAGTTAGATATAATTTTATTAATACCTTCACTCTCCGAATCATTAAATTTTGAGAGCCAGCTAGGGAAAAAGGAATTACTGCCACCACTTACATCCTTAAATAGGCCAGTAACGTGGCAGCTTAGTATTGTATATCTCTTTCATAAGGTATTTCAAGTATTTAGAGGTCCTCATTTTATAATTTCCTAAACCAAGTCCTCCTATCTAGCTTCTAACAAAGTTATCAGATATTTATATAGGGTGATCATATGTACATTATTTCGCTGTATTGTGTATTGTACAAGATTTTCTATTCAGCATTTGATTTTGTACAGCAAACGCACAGCAAAACACAATTATTGTCCTGCAATGTATTACATAATTTACTGAAACGTAATAAATAAGACGAAAACGTAATACATGATTCTATCTGTCTGTACATACCATGACTTTGAAAAACGATAACAACTTAGGCATGTCTTTTTTTATTTTTTAAACGTTTACGACTGCTTAAGCAACTTTTGATTGCACACATTATTACCACTTTAATATAATAATTCTTTATATTATTATATTACAATAAAATTTGACTATTGTCGTCTATTGTCAAATTTTCTCTAAGAAAATAAGTTTAGTTCAGTCACTTTTCACGGTGTAGTTTTTTAGTTATACCCTCTTATATACATATGGGTGAGCAATAGACATCATTGGTGGGATTGTGTAATATGAATTATTGACTGTTGGCGTCTTTCTGGTGCAGATGCACCATCTTAATTTTATACGTTTTGGGGAACACTTTTTGTGTACAGTGATAGTTCTCCTTATCCCTACACTTCATACTTAGGATATAAATAGTGCAATTGAATCGGTGAATGAAAAAACAATACATATCCAAAATGACAATTTTGAGAAAAACAAAAAAAACTGTTTTGAAGAAGAACTATGGGTTATTTAACAAACTTATTTGTAATTTTTTAATCATAATCTTCATTTTTGACTTTCCAAGAAATAATATATGGTAGTAAAACTCTAGGATTTCATCACTAAAGTAGAATAAAAGTATCTTTATATTGGCAATCTTCTTTACGTTAATAGGGACAACTTCTGAGTATGCCTTTTCTAATGGCGAGCATACACGTAACGGTCTACCGGAGAGGTCTACCTGTGCAGGTGTGCCTGCGCAGGTTGGCTTCATGTCGTAGTATGCATGTCTACCTGTGCAGGTACACCTGCACAGACAGACCGTCGCGTATATACCCGCCATAAGGGTAACTGCAGATTGGCATTAGGTTTGATCAGTCTAATGCGCTCCATATAAAAGTGTACGAGTTTTACCAGTGTATGTAAACTGGCCGTACTGCGGAATGACAAAATTAGCTTTTTGTTCATCAGCTGATTAGAGGATTTTTTATGAAATTGCGACCACCAGTTTTTGAAATCTGTGTCAAATTTGTCTACGAAACGACATGGCCACTGAGTGAAAAAACAGTACATGCGCCGTACTTGTAATGTTTTTTCACTCAGCCGAAAATTTAACAAGCCCCCCCATCGCTCGCATGATGTTGATCGGTGTATTATTCTTTCACTATGTGATAGGCCTATGAATTTAAAACAGTTTGTCTATCTTAGTTAAAATTACCGTTTTTAGCACTTGTACTGTTCTTTCACTCACCGATTCATTTATATTCTAAATAAGAAGCATGGCAATAATAACTGTCATTCATTATGATTCAAGACATCACCCAGACAACACACATAGTCCAATGGACGTCCACTTTAGATCCATTTGAGGGCCAGAACGTCCATATCCGTATTCGAAAATCCAGTGTACGTCCGTTTATGATCATCAGTTCATATCGATGTCCAGAGGACGTCTGTTTTTGGACTTAATTATCTGCTCTGGTCAAGTGATTTTTAATAATAAAAAACTTAATAAATGGTGTATAGCGGGATGCAAAAATAATAAATAAATTATTAATATTATAAAATAGTGTGTGCATGGTGAGTTGCGGTTGTGTAAAAAAAGTAGGGATGTGGTCACAATGGAATATAATAATCCAGGAATGGACGTTTTTTAAATGTCCAGTATTGAACGTCCAAATATAATCCAGAATTGGAAGTCCTATGAACGGTCAAAAGTGTGCTATTTGTATACTTCACTGGACGTCCATTGGACGTTGGAAGTCCAGAAAAAAGACCTATTTGTGATGTCTGGGCATGACACTAACCTAAAACATGCTTCTTGATTACGGTTCATTATTGACGATATGACAATCATCACACATTCAATAATATTTTTTAAAACAAGCTTTAAATAGGATAAAAAATTAAACATAAATAATTCTTTTATATAGATTTGATAATTTTTATTTAAAAGAACTTTGTTATAATCGGCAATATTAGCTTTTTCGCGGAGACTGTGGTCGACAAGTAGATGACAGATGAACATGTCCATTTCTATTTTAATCGTTTGCAATGACAAAAATCAGGGAACAGAATAAAGACCAATAGTTGCTTATATTTTAATTATGACGACTATTTCAATAAATTTCAAAAACTAAATGTTCAGACCCCGTTTTTTTATCATTTGAAACGCCCATGTCTGACAGTTTCCACAATAATGCGCCTGCTCCAAACGATCGTAAATGTCATGTAAGCATGGTAGGTATATAGAGATGGGAATTCCATCAATTAAATTATCCACTGTTATGCAAATTTATTAATTTAATTACGAACATCGAATAATGCTCAAATAAACGCGAATCGTGAGAAAACTAATTCACACTTTTTTACCACGATTTATCAAAAGTTTAGTTTTGTTATAATGTGAAAGTTGTGTTTTGTGAAAGTATCGTGTTATATGAACGTATTGTGGTCCTATCCATCTCTAAAGTGATGATTTGTGACATTTATTGACTAGACGCGTCAGCAGTCCTCTCTGTTTTCATTATCGCGAAACGACTAGAAAAGTCGATTTTACTTTTTGCATGCGTTTTTGAATGTCCTGTTTTTGAAAGGGAGGCGTACAATACTCAAATCGGATATAAAAGATATGTCAGTATTTGGCTCTTTAATGGGCGATATGGAAGACGATCCTTTTTTTGGGTAAGAAATGTATAGTAAACTTTCTAGTTCTTGCCGAGTACACAATAGATCAAAATAGACGGCCATGCTGTTTTTTGTTTTTTTTATTAAATTAATAAAATTTGCGTTTTAGGTCTCATATGCGGCATATGCGCCAAATGAGCAACATGATGAACTCTTTGTTTTCTGATCCGTTCGCTATGATGAGGGGATCGATGTTAGGATTCGAGGATTACGAAAATCGGGCTTTGACTAGCCGTCACAATATGCACAACTCTCTAATGTCCCCTTTCTCCATGCCAATCATGCCAAATTTTAATAGATTACTCAGTGGTTCTTTAGGTAAATACAATTTATTATTATTATTATTTGATAAGTGTAGGTATCTGAAATTATAAATATCCCTAAATTTATTTAAGTATCTTAATGTGAAAGATTCTTGTGTAGGAAATAATATATTATGGATTGCTTTCCTATATTTTTATTGTCTAAAACACAGTAAACAATCTGATTTATATAAATAAACCACCCAAAGTATCCATGTCGTTATTTTTGCAGAGTATTTTAATTATGTTTTAATTCTGGAATTCTACAAGGTTCCTATGTAAGACCCCTTTTGTTTATCTCGTTTATTAATAATGTAACTAGATATTTATTTCTTTTTGAAAGTTATTGTTGCGAAATGGACTAAAAATGGCGGTCGTTTTTGACATTTAACAAGGTGTTTATAAATCATGCTTTTTTATAATAATAAAGACAAATTACAAGAAAACGAAGGTGTAATTATAAACAGAAATGTTGTAAGAATGAATTAAACTAAACATATTCCATATTAACTAACCATAACTTCTTATTAGCATTAACACGTTGATTGCCACAGTAATATTCAGGATTCTGGTCTAGAAAGCCAATTTAATTTAATCATGTTATATTATTAAACACTGTAATTATAGTATATGAAAAATATGGAGACCTGATGTCACACAGAATTAAAATACTATTTTTTTCTTGATTTTGCTTAAATTTTGTATGATTATATTTTCTGTCCATGTAAGCCAGCCTTGATTTTTTTGTTCCCTTTCCAGAAACTATCCATATTTACACTGATATAATACAAATTTAATTGTAGCTACACAAATATGACAAAATAGGAAATAAGTCATAGTCAGTGTCTTAGCCAAGAAGGCAAACTACAAGTTATCTCTTAGTTGACTGTCACCATGTTAAAAAACTTTAAAATTGTAATTGCAAGGATTACCTATTATAAATTGTTTCTCTATATTTTTAATAGGTACTGTACAAACCATTTTATTGTCTGCAACAATCTAATTTATTTAAATACATAAATAACCCACAAATAATAAAGTACCTATGTCATTATTGTTACAACAGATTATTATTTATTACATCTGGAGTTCCACAAGGTTCCTATGTGGGACCTCTTTTGTTTATCTTATTTATTAATGACAAATCAATATAAAGTCTCAATTATAACAAATTCTTTCTTGTCTTCTTTCTCTACTTGTCCATCTCTGCCTTGTCTTTTAACCTTTCTTTGTGTATATATTCTTTATTTTTATTTAAACTGTTAACAAATTCCAACCAATTCAAACAAAATTCATACAACTTTGTAAAAAAATGCCCTCCTGATATTTCTTGTTTCCCACTGACAATCATTAAAAAATAAAAACTTTTTTCGCACCTATTACAATTTCTATATGCCATATTTTGACATAATAATGATATAATCATTCACCCTCCAGAAGTGTCCATATCAAATCTGCCAAAATTGATATTCACTAGTCCCTTTTTCGAAAAGGTTGTACTGTAAATATGAAATTTATCAAATTTTTAATTTTAGCTTTTTAACTTGTACATTTTCATCCCTTGAACTGTTGGATTGCTACCATTTAACTTGGTAAAATTCAACATTTCACCAACATACTACAACTACTACTAACTTTAACATTAATACAATTACAAATCTTGAATGTTGAATACTCTTCAGTACCTAGTTCCTCACTTTCGACATACTTTAACATGTAACTCTTCTCTTCATCATTTTCTACAATGGCCATTGAAATTTCACCCACACACTTTCCTTTTTTAAATTTCGTGATTTTTTTTTTCTCTTTTCAGTCATTCATTTAATATATTTCTTCGCATTTATTTCCAACCTCATATTCATTGACCATCATTTCCTCATATGTCTCTTCATTTTTCTCTCATCTCTTTCATAATGTACACCAGATTTCCCTCTGAAATTGTGCTTGGAAAATGATTTATATACATTTCTACTTCTGTAATGTTATTTTCATAACTTAAATAATCTTTTTCTACTAATATTCTCAAAAAATTATTTTTTACTGTACTAGATAACCATTTAAATTGCTCTTACAAACGCTCTTTCTTACTCTTTTATCTCTATTCTATAAATCTACTTGATTTATGGGCTCAAGCTAATTTCCAGATTTTCAAACATTCATCCCTACCTATCTTATTTTTTCTTTTAAGCTTGCTTCGCATCTGTTCTCAATTTATCCCCTTTTTATTTACCATTTTATAATTTTTTTTCATCCTCTGTATCTACTTTAATTTTACCCTAGATTTATTTTTATTTATTATTTCTCCTTTATGCTTCTTTTTCTAATCTCATGTTTCGTTTTTCATTTTATCTTGTCTTTTATTTGTTATTTGTTTTCTATTTTCATTCATTTCATTCATATTTTTTCTCAATTTCTTTAAATTTTCTATATCTCACCTTTTTCTATATTTTGACTTTGTCTTCATTCATTTCTATTCTTATAACTTTTTACTTCCAACTTCTTCAATGTTATTATCTATAACTTCTACTTTTCTAATGAAATCTTGTGATTTCTTCTTCAGGTTGTCCAACTTATTACCCACTACTTCTTCATTCTGTTTCCATATTTTTTCCTTTCCATTTGTCTGATATTTTCATTCATTTCCCCTTTTATTTGTCTCATTTTCTCATTCATTTCCCCTTTCAATTGTCTCACATCCTCCTTCATTTCCCCTTTCATTTGTTTCATATTTTCATTCATTTCATCTAATTTTTCTAAATTTTTATCTTCTCTAAATCCTTGGATTTCTTCTTATATGTTTCTTCATTCTGTTTCATCTGCTCCCCTATTTTTCTTTTTATTTGTCTTATATTATTCATTTCCCCTTTCATTTGTCTCATTTTCTCATTCATTTCCCCTTTCATTGACTGACATTCTCTTTCAGTTTGCCTTTCATTTATTTCATATTTCATTTATTTCATCTATTTTTTTTTACCTAAATTTTTATCTTGTCTAAATCCTTGGATTTCTTCCTGAATATTGTCCATTTTATTACCCATTGTTTCTTCATTCTGTTTCACTATTTTTCTTTCCATTTGTCTTATCCATTCATTTCCCCTTTCATTTGTCTCATTTTCTCATTCATTTCCCCTTTCATTTGTTTCTTATCATTAATTTCTTCTATTTTTTTATTATCCTATGTTGTCCATCTTATTACCCATTGATTCTTCATTCTGTTTCCCTATTTTCCATTCCATCTGTCTTATATTATTCATTTTCCATTTTATTTGTTTCATTTTCTCATTCATTTGCCCTTTCATTTGTCTCACATTCTTTTCATTTCCCCTTTCATTTGTTTCTTATCATTAATTTCTTCTATTTTTTTGGTATCCTATGTTGTCCATCTTATTACCCATTGATTCTTCATTCTGTTTCCCTATTTTCCTTTCCATTTGTCTTATATTATCATTAATTTCCCCTTTCATTTGTCTCACATCCTCTTTCATTTCCCCTTTCATTCATTTCAAGTTTTCATTATTCCAAAAATTTTGTTATCCTGTCTGAATCCTTGGCTTTCTTCCTATTTAATCTCTTCCCCTATTTTCCTTTCTTATATTATAATTTATTTCAACTTTCTTCATATCCTCTTTCATTCCTTTTATATTTTTATTAATTTTCCCTTTCATTCCAATGAGCACTCACTTTCATTAGATCCCCATCTTTATTCATTCTTTCTGTTGGTCTTCTTTAAATATCTTTTAAATTTTGCTCAGGTTAAAGAAGAGAATTCCAAGAACACTGACCTGGGACCACAAATAAAGTATCCTTGTCATTGCTGCTATAAATTGCGAGTATTCTAATAATTTTTTTGTTAACTCTGGAATTCCACAAGGTTCCTATGTGGGACCTCTTTCGTTTATCTTATTTTTTAATGATCTAACTATATTAATTTCTAGCTTTTTGCAAATTATTGATCTTAAAAACACTTCTGAATGTATACAACCTACCAAATGTTGGATTTTATTGATTTTATAATGTTTTCTGTCTTTGGTTTTCATAGTATTTTGTATGAAATGCCAAGAAATCATTTTTGACAGAGATAAGATAATTTTTATAAGTCAAGAACACTTTCTTCTTTCCTGGGGCTACAAATAATAAAATTACTCATGTTGTTGCTATTGCAATAAATTGAAAGTATTTTAATAATTTTTTTGTCGCCTTTCGAGTTCCACAAGGTTCCTTTCTGGTACCTCTTTTATTTATCTTATTAAAGATGTAACTCTATAATGATTCTTATTTTTGCTAGTGATTGTATCTATTTGAACTACTTGTTTTCTATTTTTAATTTGTAGCACACACACTTCTAAATCCTAAATTTTCCACATGTAGAAGTTGCCTATGACATATCGTGCCAAAAGCTTTAGCCAGGTCAATAAATATTGATACTTGGGCGATAGAGAAGTATTGAAACTTGCACATTTCCCTTCTTGTCATTCGTCAATCATCCCACTGACATTCTATCAGTTGTCAGTGGTACTAACATAGATTATTTAATGAAATTGTTGTTTAAATCTAATCTATTTAAATCTATTTAAATCTATTTAAATCTATTTAAATCTATTTAAATCTATTTAAATCTATTTAAATCTATTTAAATCTATTTAAATCTATTTAAATCTATTTAAATCTATTTAAATCTATTTAAATCTATTTAAATCTATTTAAATCTATTTAAATCTATTTAAATCTATTTAAATCTATTTAAATCTATTTAAATCTATTTAAATCTATTTAAATCTATTTAAATCTATTTAAATCTATTTAAATCTACTATTTAAATCTACTATTTAAATCTACTATTTAAATCTACTATTTAAATCTACTATTTAAATCTACTATTTAAATCTACTATTTAAATCTACTATTTAAATCTACTATTTAAATCTACTATTTAAATCTACTATTTAAATCTACTATTTAAATCTACTATTTAAATCTACTATTTAAATCTACTATTTAAATCTACTATTTAAATCTACTATTTAAATCTACTATTTAAATCTACTATTTAAATCTACTATTTAAATCTACTATTTAAATCTACTATTTAAATCTACTATTTAAATCTACTATTTAAATCTACTATTTAAATCTACTATTTAAATCTACTATTTAAATCTACTATTTAAATCTACTATTTAAATCTACTATTTAAATCTACTATTTAAATCTACTATTTAAATCTACTATTTAAATCTACTATTTAAATCTACTATTTAAATCTACTATTTAAATCTACTATTTAAATCTACTATTTAAATCTACTATTTAAATCTACTATTTAAATCTACTATTTAAATCTACTATTTAAATCTACTATTTAAATCTACTATTTAAATCTACTATTTAAATCTACTATTTAAATCTACTATTTAAATCTACTATTTAAATCTACTATTTAAATCTACTATTTAAATCTACTATTTAAATCTACTATTTAAATCTACTATTTAAATCTACTATTTAAATCTACTATTTAAATCTACTATTTAAATCTACTATTTAAATCTACTATTTAAATCTACTATTTAAATCTACTATTTAAATCTACTATTTAAATCTACTATTTAAATCTACTATTTAAATCTACTATTTAAATCTACTATTTAAATCTACTATTTAAATCTACTATTTAAATCTACTATTTAAATCTACTATTTAAATCTACTATTTAAATCTACTATTTAAATCTACTATTTAAATCTACTATTTAAATCTACTATTTAAATCTACTATTTAAATCTACTATTTAAATCTACTATTTAAATCTACTATTTAAATCTACTATTTAAATCTACTATTTAAATCTACTATTTAAATCTACTATTTAAATCTATTTATTTAGATTCAATGACTACCCCAGCCGCCACGAACTACCACAGCTCTAGCACCGTGATCAGTATGTCATCTGGACCGGACGGCAGACCTCAAGTGTACAAAGCGACGTCGAGCACACGCGTAGCCCCCGGCGGTATCAAAGAAACGCAAAAGACCGTGACTGACTCGATGTCCGGGACTAAGAAAATGTCAATTGGTCATCATATCGGAGAGAGGGCACATATAATAGAAAAAGAACAAAACATACACACGGGTAAGGAGTTGTTTTATTCTAAAGATACTCGTTCAAATTTTGAACTATCAAAATAAAATCTATTAAAATTTCTTTCATTTTAAAAATCGATTAGACTTTATTAATTTTAGAATCGATTATTTTTTAATCGATTCCTTTTTTTTTTAATTGATTCTTTTTTATAAGCGAATAATGCTTATGAGGTTTGACTCACACTGTATCTAATTTATATAATATTGAAAACATTTTAAATTCAAAAATCTTACAAAACAGTTTTAAAAGCATTTTTTTGAATATAGCAAAACATTTTTACTTTTACTGTTTTTTAATATCATTAGTATTGTCTGCAATAGAATTGATTTATTTCTAGAATTTATGCTTTTATTCTAGAATTGATTCTTTTAGAAATTGAAATTATTCTAGAATTGATTCTTTTAGAAAATTAAAATATTCTATAATTTTTTTTTTATAGAATTGATTCTTTTTAAATTAATTATTTTTGGAATTGATTCTTTTTAGAGTTGTTCTTTTTAAAAATGTTTTTTTTTTTGAATTAACTCTTTAGAATCGATTTTTTTAAATTTTTTTTAAGGGATTCTTTTTAGAATTGATTCTTTTTTGAACATATTCTTTTTTGACTTGATTCTTTTTATAATCGATTCTTTCTAGAATTGATTCGTTTTAGAATTGATTCATTTTAAAATTGTTTTTTTTTATAGAAGTCTTTTTTTTTGATAAAATTGATCTTTTTAAAATTGCTTTTTTATAGAAGTTTTTTGATAGAATTGATTCTTTTAAAATTGCTTTTTTTCTAGAAGTTTTTTGATAGATTTTGATTGTTTTTAGAATTGACTATTTTAAGAAATTATTCTAGAAGTTGATTCTTTTTAAATTTGTTTTTTTATAGAAGTTTTTTTTTGATAGAATTCTTTTTAAAATTGATTCTTTTAAGAAATTCTAGAATTGATTCTTTTTAAAACGATTCTTTTTAAAATTGATTTTTTCAGAATTGTTTCTTTTCAGAATTGATTCTTTTTAGAACAAGTTCTTTTTGAAATTGATTCTATTTTGGAGTTGATTCTATTTTAGCATTGATTTTTTATTCCTTTTAAAATTTATTTTTTTAGAATTGGTTCATTTTAGAATTGATTCTTTTAAGAAAATATTTTTTTTAGAATTGATTCTTTTTAGAACATGTTCTTTTGGAATTGATTCATTTTATAATTGATTCTATTTATAATTGATACTTTCTAGAATTGATTTGTTTTAGCAATGATTCGTTTTAGAATTGATTCTTTTTAAAGTTGTTTTTTTATAGAAGTTTTTTTTTTATAGAATTGATTCTTTTAAAATTTTTTATAGAATTTGATTGTTTTTAGAATTAATTATTTCTAGAATCGATTTGTTTTAGAATTGATTATTTTAAGAAATTATTCTAGAAATTAATTCTTTTTAATTTTTTTTTATAGAAGTTTTTTTTTGATAGAATTCTTTTTAAAATTGATTCTTTTAAGAAATTATTTAGAATTCATTCTTTTTAAAACGATTCTTTTCAGAATTGATTTTTTTTAGAACTGATTTTTTTCAGAATTGATTTTTTTCAGAGTTGATTCTTTTCAGAATTGATTCTTTTTAGAACATGTTCTTTTTGAAATTGATTCTTTTTCGAATTGATTCTAATTTAGAGTTGATTCTATTTTAGCATTGGTTTTTTAGAATTGATTCTTTTTAAAATTCATTTTTTTTTATAATTGATTCTCTTTATAATTGATTCTTTTTAGAGTTGATTCAACTTTAGCATTGATTTTTTCGAATTGATTTTTTTAGAATTGATTCTTTTTAGATATGATTCTTTTTAGAATTGATTCTTTTTAGAATTGATTTTTTTAGAGTTCTATTCTATATAATTGATTCGTTTTATATTATATTTTTTTATAATTGATTCTTATAATCAATTCTTTTTGTAATCGAATAATTTTATAATCGTTCCTTTCTAAAATCGATTCTTTTTATAATCGATTCTTTTTTATAATCGATTCTTTTTCTTAGTTAATTGATTTTTTTTTTATAATCGATTCCTCTTTATAATGGGTCCTCCTTAAAATGGCTGACACATAAAATTATATTCACTTAACAGTTTCACTAGAATTCTACTTTCTTATGATTAGTAGTATAATTTTTACTTCATTTTCCACATTGTTTCGGCAAGGCCTACTTAAAAAACATTTTTTGTTTATCTCTTCATATTTCCGTATTTGCGTTCGGATTTGTGATTTTTGTTGGATTGGTAGGCGAACGAGAGGAGAGGGAAGACCTGATAAACATTGAGGACGACGACAAGGACGAATTTAATAACGAATGGGAAACGAAGACTCGATCCAGGGCCGAAATACCGAGAATTTCTTCGGGGCCATCGAGAAACAGACACGTTTATGGAGGACATTCGTCCATACCCGCCATTACATCGGGTCCTAGGTAAGATTGTTTTATAATCGATTGTTTTTTTTTTTGTAATTATATTGTAAATATTTTCTAATTAGATGGTGTTTTTTCTGTTATTTCTTTTGTAGAACAATTTTTCTTTTAAAATATTTTGAATGCTTTTTATAGGATGATCGTTTCGTTTATTGATGAGAAATTTGATGGACTGTTGCTTTTTTCTTTGGGTTTTAGGGAAGTTACCTGGAGATTTATGTTATCAAAATAGTTAAATAAATAAAAACGAGATTTATAAGATAATTTTTTGTCAGAATTTGAGTATAATGAAAAAGTGGATAAATTAAAAAAAATATTTTTAATATAATTCAGGCCACAGTTAAAATACAGGTTCTCATTTTAAATATGTTTAAATAAATACTAACACTGATTATAAATATAGAATGTCAGATTACAAAGTTATATTGAAGGTTAAATAAAATTCAAATAGTATAATAGTAGAGGCGTGTTTCTCAGTTATTACTGGTCCGATTCGAATGGGAAAAACGGAATTTTGTGAAGAACGCGGTATAGATGAACGTTGAAGAGAAAAATCATGCGCAGCAGCAATGCCAAAAGGACCTAAGCGTGTTTCTCGGTTATTACTGGTCCGATTCAAACGGGAAAAACGGAATTATGCAGAGAACGCGGTATAGATGAACGTTGAAGAGAAAAATCGACGTTTCGCATGACGTTTTCGTTTGACGTTTTCGTTTGACTTTTCGTTTGACATTTACTGTTTTGTTTGACGTTGTTTCGTTTCTACCAAAGGTATCGTTTCAAACGCAAAGTACTTCAACTAAAATAACTACTGAAATTGCCAGAGTGCATAATGTTTTTACTAGAGTTGTTACACGAGGCGCAAAGTGAGTGCGAAAATTACACAGGTTCAAAAAATCACTTTCACATAAGTGATGCATGTAATTTTTCCTACGACTGTAAGACAAATGTAAAACCAGCGGCTGTGGAGGTTTAATCTGGAGGTGGTTTTCATGTTTGACTTTGGATTTCGGAAGGGGGTTCTATTAATTTTTAGAGTTTTAGGTAAATTTTTAAAAATAAGTTGGTTATTTTCGGTTTTTCTCTAACCTGACCTCATCTAATCGTTTTTTTTTGCTGTTGATATTTTATATTTGCTTATTTGCAATCGATTTTTTATGACTGTCTTTTCAATCCATTCTTTTTACAATTAATTCGGTTTTTTAATCGATTCATTTTTATAATCCATTCCTTTTAAAATCGATTCTTTTTATAATTTGATCTCATCTAATTGATTCTTTTTACAGTCGATTTCTTACATTTAATTTTTTGAAATCGATTCTTTTTTTACAATCGATTCGGTTTTGTAGTCGATTCGTTTTTAGAATCCATTCCTTTTAAAATTGATTGTTATATTAAATTATTTTTTACAATCGATTTTTTTACAATCGATTTTTTTTTACAATCGTCTTGTTTACAATCAATTCGCTTTTATAATAGTTTCTTTTTTATAACTCGACCTCATCTAATTGATTCTTTTTACTGTTGATTTTTTACATTTGATTTTTACAATCGATTCCATTTTCAATCGGGTTTACAATTAATTCTCTCTTATAATCGGTTCAGTTTTAAAATCGATTCTAGTTTATAATCCATTCCTTTTAAAATTGATTTTTATAATCGATTATTTTTTACAATCGATATTTTTAACAATCGATTTTTTTTACAATCGATTCGTTTTTATAATAGTTTCTTTTTTATAAATTGACCTCATCTAATTGATTCTTTTTACTGTCGATTTTTACATTTATTTTTTTTACAATCGATTTTTTTTCAACTGTTTTTTTTTATAATTCTTTTTTATAATCGATTCATTTTTATGATTTTTTTTTTCTTTGACCTCATCTATTTTATTTTTTTTACTGTCGATTTTTTATGTTTGATTTTTACAATCTGTTTCCTTTTACAATTGATTCTTTTTTACAATTGATTCGGTTTTATAATTGATTCTTTTTATATTCGATTATTTTTTATAATTTGAAATCTAATGATTCTTTTTATTGTCGAATGTTTGTTTACAAAAGATTCTTGTTACAATTTATTATTTTTTTCGATAATCGATTCTTCTATTAATCGATTCTTTTTTACAATCTACTTTTATAATAGATTGTTCTATTGTTATCGATTCTTCTATATTATAATCGATTATTTTATTATAATCAATTATTCTATTATAATCGATTCTTTTATTATAATCGATTATTTTATAATTGAGTTTTTTTAATAGTTCATTCTTTTTTAACTAATTGATTTTTCTTACTGTCGATTTTTTACGTTTGGTTTATTTTTACAACTGTTTTCTTATATAATCGATTCAGGTTTAACATCGATTCAGGTTTAACATCGATTCTTTTTAGATTCGATTCTTTTTTATAATTTGAAATCTTATTCTTTTTAATGTAGAATATTTACAAAAGATTCTTGTTACAATTTATCCTTTTTTTTTTCGTTAATCGATTCTTCTATTAATCGCTTCTTTTTTGTAATCGATTCTTTTTTACAATCGACTTTTATAATCAATTCTTGTATTATAATAGATTGTGCTATTGTTATCGATTATTCTATCATAATCGATTCTTTTATAATTGATTCTTTTTAATAGTCGATTCTTTTTTAGCTAATTGATTTTTCTTACTGTCGATTTTTTACGTTTGGTTTTTTACAATCGATTCTTTTTACAATTATTTCCTTTTACAATGGATTCAATTTTATAATCGATTCTTTTTTATAATTTGAAATTTTATTCTTTATTATTTGTTTGTTTATAAAAGATTCTTTTTACAATTTATTCTTTTTTTCTATGACCAATTTTTTTCGATAATCGATTCTTTTCTGAATCTCCCGTTTTATGTAATCGTTTCTTTTTTACAACCGACTCTTTTATAATCGATTCTTCTATTAAATTCGATTCTTCTATTAAATTCGATTATTCTATTATAATCGATTCTTTTTAATAGTCGATTCATTTTTAGTCAATTGATTCTTCTTACTGTCGATTTTTTACGTTTGATTTTTACAATCGATTCTTCCTATTTTCGATTCTTTTTTATAATTTGAAATCTTATTCTTTTTAATGTCGAATATTTATAAAAGATTCTTTTTACAGTTTATTATTTTTTTCTATGAACAATTTTTTTCGATAATCGATTCCTTTTTGAATCTCCCCTTTTATGTAAACGATTCTATTTTTACAACCGACTCTTTTATAATCAATTCTTCTATTATAATCGATTATTCTATTATAATCAATTCTTTTATAATTGATTCTTTTTTTAGCTAATTGATTTTCTTACGTTTGATTTTTACAATCGATTCTTTTTACAACTTTTTCCTTTTACAATTGATTCTTTTTTACAATTGATTCTTTTTATAATTTGAAATTTAATTAATTCTTTTTAATATCGAATATTTGCTTGTTTACGAAAGATTGTTTTTACAATTTATTTTTTTTATAACCAATTTTTTTCGATAATCGATTCTTTTCTGAATCACTCCTTTTATGTAATCGATTCTTCTATTATGATCGATTCTTCTATTATGATCGATTCTTCTGTTATGATCGATTCTTCTATTATGATCGATTCTTGTATTATAATCGATTCTTTTATTATAATCGATTCTTCTATTATAAACAATTCTTCTTTTATAATTGATTCTTTAGATTTTTTATGTTTGGTTATTACAAAAGATTTTTTTTACAACTGTTTCCTTTTACAATTGATTCTATTTTACAATTGATTCGGTTTTATAATCGATTCTTTTTATATTCGATTCTTTTTTACAATCTATTTTTTATATGATCGATTCTTTTTATAATCGATGTTTTTCTATGATCTCTTCTTTTTTTATAATCGATTCTTTTATAATCGTTTTTTTTATAGCTGATTCTTTTTTATAACCGATTCATTTTTATGAATGATTACTTTTTATAATCGATTTTTTAGATCAAAATTGAAATGATAGTTTATGCGGAGAGTATATTTTTATTCACATGCGTGTGGCTTTCAAAATTGCGATATGGAATAAGGTCTTCTGTATATATTTTTTTATCTACCATATTATGAAATAAAGCGCGTACGGTTCTGGCTTCTCAACCTATCGCGCCTAATAGAATTTTAACTGTGGCCTTCTATAGAATTTCAAAACTTTATTAGTGTATAAAATATTTATCATCAGTCCAGGAAAATTGTAATTTCTTAAATTTTCGTCTAGTTTTCCCGGACTATATTTTCCAAATTTAATATTTAGCTCAAATTATTCCTTAATTTTTTTTTTACTTTTATTATTGCGCTACATTTTATACATTAATAAAATTATTATAAATACTTTTTCATTATGAATGCTGATAAAGCAATCTCTTTTTTTTATTGCTCACATTATCTGCGGTATGATATTTGATTAAATTCTACCAAAAAAATCATGTAATAACGTATTACTTGAATTGAATATAATAAAAAAAATATCAAATACCATACAGTAGAAGCAATTTTATTTTAATATGCATCTTTCTACTGTCTTAATATATTTTTTTTCTACAAATTTTTGTTCTTATATTTTTTTTTGCTAAAAAGTTTCCTTGTTGTGCATGTGTAGTAGTCGCCGACATAGGGACAGAACCAGTCAACTCCCGTCCGCACCCTTGGTCTCTGGTCGTAGAAGTATAAGGTCGCCAAAATTAGCATTACCTGCGAACAGTACTAGGTAGGCGAAGTGATTTTTTTCACTTTAATAATTACATAGTTATTGCGCCGAAATTCTACTCATTATTAGCTTTAAACAACTCATTTTTTTTTTTCTAGAAAGCTTAATTTAATCGTTGCATATTTACATACGGATTAAAATATCATGCTATATATAATTGTGATGTATTTTACTGATTTTAAACTACTTGTTTGTATTTTTTTTATTTTGTGTTCAATTTGTACTAATTTCAAACATTTTCTCTTAATTTGTTCTTCAAC